AGTTCATCTGTCTGCTCTCTCTCTCTCTATATCTCTCTCTCTCCACTTTCGGCCCACACACTCTCTCCTTCGTCTTGAACTGGACCAAGCTCGATTGCATCGCTCACCTCGTTGCACCCTCTTCGACTTTCGCCTCTCCATCCGACGATCATCGGGCAACACCACGTCAGCCATTCACAGCTTTGTCTCATCTCCAACCGACGCCCTCGCATACACGACGGACAATTCCCACACCTGCTGTCGAACCTCACCACGCGCTCTCAGCCAGCCACAAAGTACAACAACTCACCCGATCGCTATAGCGCTTGATTGACCAACGCCGATTCACGCCACTGATCAGCAGCAACTGGACACTCTCTCCCAGCCGCCGCTCTAGCTTCCTTCAGCACCAGACCATTGAGCATCATGCATTTCACGGCGCCAATCAAAACAGCTGCCGTGGCTGCTGTCGGTCTCGCTGCCGCAGTTCCTAGCGTCTTGGCTGCCACAATTCAGGATCGAGCGCAATTTGACTCGGCGTACTCTCACCACGCCAGCATGATGAGGAGGTCAGTCACTGGCAATGGCAACGACCTTGACGGTGAGTACTCGTTGCATGCGAACCACTTGATGGTCATCGCTCAGCCCTTGCGTCGCCTCGCACAGGTCAAAGCTATGATTACATCATCGTTGGCGGCGGGCTTGCTGGGCTCACGGTGGCATCGCGGCTCTCGGAAGTATCCAACGTTACCGTAGCAGTCATTGAGGCAGGAGGGGATGTGTACGGCGCAGACCAAAACAAGTTCCTGGTGCCTACCGGCAATCTCTACGATTCTGCTGTGAAGACGCAGTACGATTGGCAGTGGCAGACGTCATCTCAGGCTGGGGCCAATGGCAGGAACTTGGACTGGCCTCGAGGCAAAGTTTTGGGAGGCTCCTCTGCTATCAACGGGCTGTATCTCGTGCGAAGCAACAAGGCGGAGCACGACAGTCTGGCCAGCTTGATCAGTGCGCCGGACATCTGGGGCTGGGACAACATTTTCCGCGCGATGAAGAAGAGCGAAACCTTCGTTCCACCCACCGGCCGTGTCCGCAACGTCTTGCCCGATCTGCGCTACAACGAAGCCTCGCACGGAAGCTCAGGACCCATCCACTACAGCTGGCCAGGTGCCGCGTTCCCGACCACAAACGACTTTCTGCAATCCATGGCGAATACCGGAACACCCATCTCGGACGATGCGTACGGCGGCAGCAGCTCTGGCGCCTTCGTAGCCACTAGCGCAATCAATCCCCAAGACAACTGGCATCGCAGTTTTGCGCGAAACGGATACCTCGACCCGGCACAAAACAGGCCCAACCTGCACGTGCTCACGGGGCACCAAGTGACTAGAGTTCTCCTGGATTCATCGGACCCAGCAAACGTCCGAGCGACCGGTGTCCAATATGCGGCGTCACGAGGATCAGATGTCAAGACGGTCAATGCCAACCGTGAGGTGATCGTCAGCGGTGGTTCTGTCAACACGCCTCAGATTCTGCAGCTCTCTGGCATCGGTAACCAGCAGCACCTCGCCTCCATCGGCGTGGACACCGTCATCGACCTGCCTGGTGTCGGCGAGAATCTCAATGACCACGTCGTCACTTCCGTCGCTTGGGCTCCCCAGGGCAACGTCGAGATGCCCGCACAAGGGGTGACGGGCAATGCTGTTGCCGACTCTTACGTCAACGCTGCCACCGGCTACACGACGATGAACACTCTGCTGGGCAATTACACTGCTGAGCTGGTCCAGCAAGCCAGAGCACAGATGGCTCAAGCAGACGCAGCTTCCGATGCTCGCGATGAGGTCAAGCGAGCATGGAACGTTACGCGCGAAGCTCAATTGCAAGCCGTGTTTAGCGAAGGCAGTGCCATTGGTGCTATTGAGCTCCTGTGGGCCTATGTGTTCGGCTCAATGCAGGTCCAGGTCGCTCTGCAGCACCCGATGAGTCGAGGCTACGTCCGCGCAACATCCAACGACCCCTTCACTGCGCCAGAGATCAATCCCAACGTCTTTGGCGTCAATTTCGATCTCGCGCTCATGCGGGAGGGTTTGAAGCTGGCCAGGCGTGTGGGTAACGCTCAACCCCTTTCGAACAGTCTTGGAAATGAGAACAGCCCCGGCACCAATGTCCAGGCGGACAACGACTTCGAGACGTATGCCAGAAATAGCGTGGGCACAGAATACCATCCTTCTTCGACCTCTTCCATGCTGCCGCGAGGGGATGGAGGTGTGGTGGATGCGAACCTCATGGTATACGGTACCTCGAACCTGCGCGTTGTCGACGCTTCCATCCTCTCTTCGCCCCTTTCGTGCCACCTCATGGCACCGCTGTACGGAGCAGCAGAGGTGGCTGCGGAGATCATCGTGGCGCATGCTCAAGGCAGGGGCTACACCGGATCTGCACCGCCCAGATCGGACAATGACTCGGCGGGTCAGACGGACGGCGCACCTGGTGCTACGGGCGGACCCGGCTCCAACAACGGCAACACCGCCAACGGCAACGGCAGCGGCAATGGCACTAGTGCTCTTGCTAGACCCATCACTTACGTGGGCGCTCTGCTAGCTGTGACCATCGCCTCCTTGTTGCTGTGATGGCCTTCAAGCAGGCTTCTCACACATTGGCCCTCAGCAATAGACTTGGGCGCCTCTAGCACCACCCCAGCACATCTACGGACCTTGCTACAGAATCAAACCCAAGGACAATCAAAAGACTTGCATTTCTTGTTCCCGCATCTCTTCGCACATACCATGACGCCCACGCACGCATACTTGCCCACCCACTCAGCAGTGCGCACCTTCTTCCTTCGCTCGTGTTGTGATCCTTTCCCCACCTTCGCCTTGGCGGAACAAGTGCAGCATAATCGCATCGACTCTGATCAGATTTTTGTGTGAGGCGGGCGTATGACAATCCGTCTGCCCGGGCATACATCTGAAAAGCGATGCATGAAGAAGTGAGACTGGTCACTATGGACGTGTTTGCTCCCATGTCAAGCGGCCATCAAGGGACATTGAAAGCGAATTGGGAGAGAGAGGGAGAGAGAGAGCGAGGGCGAGTGGTGAGAAAGGTTTTGTATCGCGTTTTATTCCATCGGAACAGACTTGTTATATTGGTGCATGGCGTCTAGAGATTAGCATTGGGCGGCTTTTGCGTTGGCGACGCATCCGATCCTCGAGCATATCCGCGCTCCTCGCTGTCCGCAGCTGGTTCCGAGGTGAAGTCATACCACGGTCTCACGGGCTGAGCAGCTCTAGAAGGTTGCAAGCCAGCCTTGAAGACATTGACATCGGTGATCTCCACCTCTGTCGACGCTTCTCTCCTCGATTGCTCCTCCGCAACATCATCTTCAGCCATGTCTGTTTCGGCGGGGTATTCGGTAGCGAGCTTGTCGATCGTAGCCATCAGCTGAGCCGTCTTTGCTTCGTCCATCGGAGGGTCTGCACGTGCCAAATTGGCCCTTGTGTACTCCTTGACCATCTCTACGTTGGGCTGCTGAGCCTTGAGCGCAGCAAATTCGTCTTCGCTGATGGGAATGCCACTGCTTCTCGCCACCTCGCGCAATTTCTCCCCAGCTTGCACGCCGAAGCGCTGCGGCTTGACCTGAGATCGCAAGTGCACGCACACCTTGGATCTGGTCGGGCTCGAGTGGTGAATGTAAGTGTTGAACAGATCCACCACATCGCGCTTTGCGAGTTTGCGGAGCGAAGCAACGTCCACGTCTCGCTGCAGGAAGTCGTAGTATCCGGAATGGATGTGGAACCAGAAGCGACTTGACTCCTCGTACAGGTTTTTAGGCACCTCGAGCTTCTTGTGGATCAGGCTCTCGCGCTGCGCCAAGAATTCGCTCTCACTCAAACCTTCCAAGTGCGCCTTGAATTGGTCCAAGAAGGCATCGATGCGGGATTCGACGTACCGAGAATCCCTCTCGGACTGGACCAAGATGCGGAAACCCATGCTGCCAATCGTCTTGCGGGGGCTGCTGAACACCAAGTAGCCAAGCTGTTCCTTGGTGCGGAGCTGATCAAAGACGGGCTCGGAAGCGATCTGAGCGAGCAGAGCAAGAGTGGCTCGCTGCTTGAAGTCCACTGGGTCTCCAATCTGGCAGTAATACTCGATAGAAGAGTTGACGTTGTCAACGTTGGCGACCTCCCGCGACCATGAGAAGTTGCATGGTCTCGGCAATATGAGAGAGCGGTGGGACACAAGCTCGCTCGCAGCCAGGGGCTTTGGCGCGAGAATATCCTCAGCAAGAGCCATGAGCTCACCCGCTCGTGCCGGCGTGACATTGCCGTGGGCGAGCGTCTCGATGTGCAGGCGACCAAGGAGATCAGGGAGGAAACGCTGCAGATCGTCGGGTGTCAAAAGCTCTAGTTCGACTAGCTTTTCCTCTGCTGTCCACATGCGCTCAACCAAAAGGTACGTCATGTAGTAGTTGGCGTGCTGGTATGGTGCCTCTAGGCTGAAGTTCTGGTAGCCTCGTCGAACAGAGTCCTTGATGATGTCAAAACGCTTGGGGTCCACTTTGAATTTGGCAATCTCCTCAAGGATGTAGCGACAAAGAACGGGAAGCTTGTGGCTGTATCCGTCGACGCTCAGACCGATACCATCAGCTTGCGATTCGATGTTGTATCCAAGACCCGCAAGCTCAGCATCGTAGGAGTACTCCGTCAGCGCATCCTTGACAAGCTCTACGAATACGCGGGACTTTACGGCGTTGTTTGGAGTCGCATCGATGAGCGGACTGCGAAGAAGCATGAACAAATTTGCTTTGGGCATGAGGAATTGGTCATCGCGCTTGTGCCACAAACGACCGAGTGGCGTGTTGCTTAAAAGGGTTGGGCGCTTAGTGGGTCTGTAGCCTGGCTGGCGGAAAGCTTCGACGCTTGCCACTTCGAGGTCGGACGGCACAAAGTCGTTGCGTTTGGGCAAGGCCAGTCCTTGCGACACATGACCATTGCTTGGCCTCAACAGCGTCTCAGGCAAGGCGGTGAGCTTGTACTCTGTGCCATACCACTTCTCCCTCGCTGCCCAGTCCTTTGATCCATCCGGCATCTTTTGCGCAGCTACCGTGATTCGGCAATTGGCGGGGGTGAGGCAGTCGATGGTCTTGCGAATGAGATCTTGATCGAATTCGCGCGTCAAGTAAGGGCCGGAGAGGACCCACTCGCGAGGAAATGGCATTTGCATCTGAGTCGCCAGAGCTGACGCATAAGATGCTGGCGGGACTTTCTCCTTGAAGCGGTAGGCCAGGTCGCAAAGCTGCTGCACCTCCTTGAAGGACCACTCGGGAACAGCGGAAGCGCGCAGCAAGTCAATGTATTGGAAGATGCCTTGGACGACTTCCTGGTAGTTTTGCAGTCCGCTTTGTGTGAGGTCGACGCTGATCTTGAAGAATTCGAAGCCGTCCGCTCCATTCGTAGCCCCAGCGCTGAGGTGATTCGCCCAGCCTTTGGCCTTGAGATGAGATAGGATCGATCCCACACCTTCGTGTCCCACGAAGTGGCTCACGATCTGACCAGGCTTGGAGCGGAAATGAGGTCCTTGATCAGGAATGGGAAAGGTCACATCGAGCAGGCGAATGTCCTTGACGCTACGGAAGAAGACCTGAGTCTGCAACTGCTCCGCTCCGAGGGGAGAGCCTGGGAAAGTAGGGGCTGCCACGCCTTTGTTGCGAACGCCAGAGAACTTGTCCACCACCCAGTGTGTCAATTGATCGAGGCTCTCTGCATAGCAAGGCATGCAGACGTGGTGAGCGGTCCGCTTGTTGATTGCACGTGTTCTGCTTTGGTAGCCAACACGAAAGAAAAAAGCACGCCGCTCTGACCTCCGCTCTGCACTTCGACTCACCTCTGCCGAGAACGACCAACCGCATGACATTGGCGCTGTAATACTTGTCGTGGAACTTGAGCAGCTCGTCCCGAACATCCATGCCTTTGCCTTTCGGATCGTCCCACAGCGTCTTGAGATTGCCCGTTCCGAAGTGCGAGTAAGGATGCCGGGGGTCGCTCAAGCTCTTTTCGAGCTGGAAAGACCGCCAAGCATCGCTTTGCAGGTTCTTCTTGTGTTCCGAATCGACAGCTCTAATTTCGCGCTCGGTGCAGCCTGGATCAAAAAGCGGGCTGATAAAGAATTGGGAGAAGCGGTCCAGAGCGCCTTCGAGATGAGAGTGGCCCACGTCGAAAAAGTAGTTGGTGTTCTCCATGCCGGTGTATGCGTTCGAAGCACCGCTGTTGTTAGACAGGTACTCGCTGTACTCATTCTCCCTCGGGTACTTTTTGGTTCCCATGAAAAGCAGATGCTCGCAAAAGTGAGCCAAGCCCTGCAGCTCTTCCGGGTCCGACAAGTGTCCGACGCGAACGTCCATCGCTGCGCTGGCCTTGTCCGTCTCTGTGTCGTGAATCACGAGCGCCTCGAGACCGTTTGCTAGCCTAATGAGCCGGTAGGATCTGTCATCTTGACCGCTTAGCTCCAGCGGCCTGGTAAAGACGGCATAGGGTGCTGCATCGTTGCCGTCAACACTGGGATGGATCTCGAACCCGGGGGGTAGAGATTCGAAAGGAGCGGAACCCGAAGTGAAAGTGGTAGCGGCCGTGGCAAGTGCTCGAGAGCTGCCGGGCGCGCGCGATGCTTCCGACATTTCGCTGGGGTGGGGATACGGGACGATGATAAGCGATGGGTTACGTATCGGCGACATGTACGCCATCAAGCGATGGGACGAGTTTACAGTGGCTTGGCACTCACCTATGGAGCTTGATACCAGTCGCGTCGGTTGCGGCGTGGCTTGATTGGTCGCGAATGCGAGTTGCACGAAGTGTCCGGTCAATCGGACCCGTATCGCGAGGCGTAGAGCAGGGTGAAGAGGTTGAAAGCTGCTTGGCGTGAAGCGAAGCGGGTGTCAAGCTAGCTCCAAGAGAATCTGGAGCGAAGCGAGCGGCAGACGAGACTGGTGCGGAAGAAGGTGTGCGACGAGCAGTGGCAGCAGTCCTGGCGAAGATTGGAGGAAGACCTCGCGCCGCGGATAACCGAAGAGGTAGCATGCGCGTAGGCCGATGCGCAGTCGCGAGTCCCCAGACGTGAGTCGTGCGTCTCCCTTTGAGTCACAAGTAAGTCTTCTACGGTCGCGAGCGTATCCTGGTGCCTGTTGTCAAGGTGACTGGAGTTTGCGTGCTGCAGAGAGGGCTACGCTGAAGCTGCAGCTATTGATGTATATAGGGAGAGCGGGGCAGAGCTTAATTGTCATTTGTTTGCAATCTCTGAGACTGATTGATGAAGGCTGAGGGCTTGGCAGCTGATGCTTGCTCAATTGCTGCAGGTGGTGGCGAGGTTGTAGACGGCGCCGAGGCGGATGGGTGTAGGTGAGGGGTGCTGGAAAGTAGAGCTGCGCATGCAGTCAAGTCTCGATCCTCGTTCGTTTATTGCTGTCCTACTTGCGGCGTCACGAGAGTGTCAGTAGGTTCTTCTCAAACCTGAAGCGCGGCAAGCGAAGTCCCGCGTACAGTATATGCAGGCTGGCAACAGCAAGGACGGCCGCTGCTGCGCCTAAATGAGAGACAAAGGGATGAAAGTGGGCTGCTGGCTGCTGGCTGCTGGC